ACGGAGTCCCATCTTCCCCTTGCTGTGAGCTGGGGGGTGAACAAAACAGTTATAACCGGGTGCCTTGAAATGCAGGAAGTCCTGTCCACCCACTTCTAAGTGATTCTGTTTTGCCTGCTCACACCCTTGATTTAAGTAATTGGTATTAATCTTGTTTTACACTTGTGTTTTTTGGTTATGTTGCTCAATATCAGTTGGTGGTCGTTCAGACATGGGCGCGCCTCATGGTGTTTGTGCCCCAGGGGGCTGAAATGCAGGAGGCCCTTCAGCTTCAATTGCTAGGAGCAGAGCAGTGGCAGGGGATAGGAAGCTGCTGGCTGGAAAAAAAATATCTCTGCCAAGAGGCAACTTTAGCCCTTCCCAAGGCCCACAATTGTTTCTCATGAGTGGGGGGCATCGCTAGGGAAGGATTAACCTGGCTCTTGGCAGTAGCATCTCTTCTCAGAGCAGCATCCTGTCCCTGCTCCACTCCAAGATGTAAGCCAGGGGTTCCCAACCTCCAGGTCACAGCCCGGTGCTGAGCCACAAAGGGTTGGCTGCTGGTCCACAGAAGGGTCGGCTGCCAGACTGGAACTGAACACGGACCAGCAGACCACGGGTTGGAAGTGACCGGCATACTCCGCACCGACAGCCATTCCTTCTTTATACCAAAGTATACAAAAGGTTTGGCTGCCTGCCCGCAGTCTGCTGGTAACTGTTGGTCTGCAGTTTGCCAGTCCGCGGCATAAAAAGGTTGGGAGCCCCTGGTCTAAGCTCCCCTTGTTTTCAATTCACCTTTACTGAGGCTGGTGTGCCACATACAGCAGTGACCTGTGCTCCTTGTGGCAGATGCAGGTTGGGCATCCCTGCCCTAAGGGCATGTCTGCAATAGATTTTCTTTTTACTTCCTGTTGCTGCATGACTGCTGATACAGTTTTGCTAGTCTTGGACAAAGTAGGACCGTTGGTATATACAGGTGTCAGGTGGCATTTTTTTTAATATAATGTCATTTAGATCTGTTTTGAGAAGAACTGGGAAATCTGGTAATAAGAAAACTAGCACTCTTAATAACATCACCAGCGGGGGAGTTGCACTAGTAGTATAATACTGGTGTGAAATTTCTCCCTGGTCTTAAATCCTACTAAACCTGCATCCACTTAAGCAATGAGTGTTGATACTGACTTCAAAGGAAGGATTTTGCTGTATGGACCTTGTTCTTTGAAATATTTCTCACCTCTTGAAGGTGACTGGTGTCTTCAGTTTGTTTAAATTAATAGGGGTTAAGACTCAGTACTGCTGAAATCTCACAGTTCTCAACCATCCCAGTAACAGCATGGAGAACTATGCATGCATAAGGGCTGGCCTCTTAATTTGTTTGCAGATTGGAAGGAGCCAGAAATGCTGAAAATGAATGTTGTTCAGTTTCTTTCATAGTGGTACAACAATCCTCCTGTGCATTTTAGGACTCAGTCCTAAAATATCTGCTTCAAGCCTTCATTATCCACAGAGATGGTAACTGAGGGGCATTGGTCCCTCAGTCAGTACATATGAGTAAACCCTGGCATGAACCCAATGGTAGGAATCAGAACTGTTGCTAGAAATGGGCCATAAAGCTGGAATGAAGGCATGAAGCCCCATTTCCAACAACAGCTTTGCTCCCTAGTGCTGGGTTTTCCCCTTAAGAACTTTTTACAGACATATTCCTAAAATGGAAGAGACCTGACACTAGATAAAAAATAGAAGGATCCTAGCCTGTAAGAGGAACTCTGAAATAATATGCATACTTGGGAACAGAAGGAGAAGACTGTTCATCAAAAATGACATGATATTTTGTTGATAAGAATTAGGAGGAATGTCAAAGATATTAGGAATGATTCAAATTAATCTTGATTTCAAGTTTTGTTATAAAATATCCAATAGTCAGACATATTAATTTAACGTGCATTCTTTGATACATATTACATTTTGCAGAATGCCTGCCTAATATTACTTTTCTTCCCCCTCCCCTCCCTTTTTTTTTTTTCAACACAGGGAGCTGAAACCAGGTGAAGAAGTTACTTGGAAATGAAAGACCTTGATGAAGCGGGAAGTGCTCTGATGCAATTAAATCAGTGTATAACAAGTAGATGAAGTTATTATTGTGTCATCCCTAGAACAGAAACCGTGTCTTTACTCTTCTTGTACTCTCTGTTTCTAAGACAGAAATTGTAAGGCCACTAAAAGGACTGTATCATGATTTACATCTGCCAACATCATTTTCTGTTTGGTTTTCTTCTTGAGCAACAGTTTTATCATATAATGAGGATTATATCCTATTCAGAAATACTTTTTTCACATGATAAATAACGGTTGGGGGAGTATTCGACAGAAACCTATGCAAAGAGCACTTCAACCTATGGTCATTGATCATTTTATGATGTTTCCTATGTATAAAGAATCAGCCTTAAAAATAAACTTGTTAGGCTCACTTATTCTGTAAATTGGTAACACTTCATCAAAAAAAATCCAATTGGGGCTATTTCTCTTTCAGATTTAAACTTTTTCCTTTAGTATTTGCAACTTCAGCTTTGCAGTTAGTGAATGGGAACCAGAAAGTAAAACTGATTGGAGACTTATTAAAAACACTGATGAAACTGTGAATGGGAAAACTGGGTTTTTGAAAAATACTCTGTTAACAACTAAGTGGCAATACTTATGTGGGTAAGTCATTATATTACAGGCAGTCACAACGTTTCAAGTTACAAGGTTTCGCACTTATAATGTTTATAAATTGACACCCTGTTTCAACTTTCCGACATCAGTTTCGACTTTACAACACTTGATCTGATGCCAAGCCACGCCAGCGAACAAGTTGGCTGTGTCACCCATCTCCCTGGAGAACATCTGTCCAAACTTCCTTGGACACTTTCTTTAAGAAAGAAGACAAGACTCCAGAAGAACCTGCAGCGAAGCCTCCTGAGAAGACACCAGCCAAGAACTCTTCAAAAAGTCCAACCAAGAGCCCTTCGAAACGTCCAGCAAAATCTTCTCAAAGTCCTTCCAAATCAATATGATTGCTATTTACAATATAAATACATTAATGTAGCTATATTACTCATCTATAATTAATTGAGTACAAAGTTCTGGGTTATTTTGGGTGAAAATAGGGTATCAGGCCTTGTTTCAGGAACAAATCCCCCATTTATAACATTGTTTCCTATGGGAAAATCGATTCTGAGTTGCAACGTTTCGACTTAAGACATGGTTTTCAGGACCCAATTGTGTTGTAAGTCTGAGGACTGCCTGTATAACAAACCAATCCAGGCCTCTTGGTTTCCTTTTCTTATTCTTATGTAGGAGGCTCGTGAATTAGATTCTGTGCTAGTTGCAGAGCGCAGCCACAGTGTGGGCATTGGTATTTTGGGCCACCATGGCATGTCCTAAATTCTTAGCTTGGGTAGGTATCTGCCCCACTCTCAGTGCAAGTTAAAGCCACCCTGGGACTGCTCTAACAAGCCACTGCATGGCTCATGTTAGTGCTCAGAACAACCCATCCACGCTTCTTTCCACTTCTAATAACTTGTGTGAGGTGTAGGAGCATAAAAACATTAAGCTAGATCATAAACCTTTGGAGGTACGGGGAGAGGGTCTTGATCAGCCCTAGCATAGTAAGATTTGGTCTGTGGTTAGGGCTCATAGCAGCTATTAACACAAATAATAATGTGCTTGGGAACCTTTTGGTTGGAAGGATTGTTCCAGCCGCCTGTGGAGGGCTCGGGATTGCGAGTATGGTCGGGGGTAGAAAGGTAAGAAAGGTTTATTGACTTAACAAAAACACAACTATGCGTAGTAACTAGACAAACAATGACAGACAAGAACAATTTGCATCGGCAACTTATCGGCAGTCCCCTCTGATGCCTGATCTACGACAAGTTTCTCTTTCCACAAAGTTCAGCGAAGTCAGGCACTGTCTGAGAGGTACTGGGAAGGACCCTGGAATTCAGTCCTTGGTCTCGAGATCCACGGACCCACTGATCTAGGCCAACAGCTAACAAATCTTTTTCACAGAGCTATATCTTCCTTCAGAATGATTTCCGGATATTTCAGTCAATTTATAGCTTCTGAATGGTACTGATAACGTACAGCCACTCAGATTCTTTTTACTTCAACTGTCTTTAGACTGACCAATAGCAGTACAAGCCTTGCATTCCTTTGATAAGGTTAATTTTAACTACACCACAGGGTTTTACTACTTCAAGGCTTTGCTAAATTTACTAGGCCTTACTTTATACAAGGCCTTACTACATCTTAAACTTTAATTAGGCTCTTAGCACCAACATAGAGCTTAATATCTAAACAAATACAGAAAAACGCTTGGTCTAATCTTCATAGAGCCTTCAGCAAGCACCTTTATCACACAGACATAATTTTCAGCTGTCACACTCCACCCCTTGCTTGCTGAAGCACTATGATAGCTACACTTGAGATGTCAAAACTATATGTACTACATCAGGGAATGGGGAGGGACCTTAACCTGTGACCTCCACCAGGGTGTGGAGTTATACAGTGTCGGGGCTTCCTGTGGGGGAACACCCAGAGACAATAGTGAATACTCCGTTTTTTTACAGATTACATTTATTCTTCCCTCTTTGGGAGCTTGTAACCATGCTTTACATCCCAGAGAGCAAAAGAGTTCCCACTGTCGCTCATGGGGACAATGCTGTATTGGGTTGATGAAACGGCACTGCTCTGGCAGAATCATAGCACTAATTTGCTTTAGGAACTCTACTGGTATAAAAGGATGGGGATAAGTGGTGGAGACTTGCGGATACAGCCTCCTTGTAGTTGTATTAAAGTGGGTACCATTCCACCATGCCTTTGTATAGGTATGATTCACAAACCATGTAATAACTTTGTTCTAACTTGTAATGCGCTCTCCCACCACCTGGTGGGCTTCACACTATCGCGGGAGAGTGTCGTCAGCCATAGGAATGGGAGGGGGCAAATTATCCCATAAAGGCAGTGGCTTGAGATGCTAAACAGATACAGAATGCACAATTGGGGACACAAACTCAGGGGCGTTGAGCTTAACGGGGTTTCCCTCTGGAAGTATGTAACAACAAACTTCCAAACGAGCAGAGCTACAACAATTACCTCCCTTCCTGCAGTTAGCCATTCCAGCCTTCAGGTAGGGAATGTACCCAAGATAATAACTGGTGCCACAATTGCACTGACAGTTACCACCTTGCCAGTCAACTATCCTGTTTCTTCTACTCAGAGACCAGGACTTCACTTGCTCCGGAGTGGTGGGTTTCTTTCAGTACGGATACTGCAGCTGGACTACGTGAAGGTCATCTGAACGCGTTTCCAGGGGATGCTCTTCAGGGTCAGGCCACTCCTTCAGGTCTTCAGGAGCAAGTTCATTAATATCTGGGTAATAAGAAGGATAGTAGACATGCCCTACCCAGGAAACACAATAAGGCATTAATAAAAAGCACAGTTATAACAGTCCACCACTTCATGGTTCCAGTCAATTCAGACCGGTGACAGAGCAGGACTCGTCTTCAGTGGCAGGCTCAGTTAGGAATGGTTATAGCTGCACTTGTGGACAGATCCAATCTGTAGGAACAAGACAACAAGGAGCCTGGCTCCCGTTAGATGAATCTGACTTAAATACCTACCATGTATTATGCATACCTTTTGCCAATAGTGTCCCCTCCCATTTATCTCCCTGAGGATGCTTCACTACCACCCGATCTCCTGCCTGGAACTTTCCCAGGTCACCACCCCTAGGTCGTTCCACTGCTGGCTCGCGGGGACCACCCAATCCAAAGGCCTGTTGTATAGGGCTACTTCCCAGATGGGGTCGGTTATTGGCCCAATTGATAGCTCAATCTAGGTGCAAGTCCCAGTCTTTAAGAGCCGGGCCAGCGGCCAACTGCAAATTGCATTTGAGGATGCCATTGGCTCACTCTACCAATCCGTTAGACTGCGGATGGTATGGGATGTGATATGTCCATAACATGCTATGTTTCGCAGTCCAGTCATACACGAGATGATTGCGGAAGTGCGGGCCATTATCACTCTGTAGTTCTGTAGGTGGTGGATACACAGCTAGCAGAGTTTCCAGTGCTGCACAAGTGTCCTGGGCTGTAGCTCTTGCTGAGGCGCGGGCGAACGTTATTCCTGTGGTAACTTCTACAGCTACAAACACATACTGTCACTTTTGGGAAGTCCGAGGGAGGGGCCCTATGAAATCACATTGCCATACCTGCCACACTACCTTTCCTTCATTTAATGACAACGGGACAGTCAGGCAGGGTTTTAGTCGCATTTTGACCTCGCGGCAAATGATACATGCGTTGACTATTTCTTGTGCTTCTTTTTTAGTTACATGAATGCCTCAAGACGCGCCCAGGCGGGCGGTTCCATCATGCCCAGGGAGTCCCATGTTGTTGATGTAGCCATTCTGCGGCTCGTTCCCCAGGTATACAGTGGGAGAAGGAATTGGGCAATGATGGACTAGCTGCTTTTTTTTTTTTTCTTCAACATACAAGGTTTCAGTGCTCTCTTCTTTTGTTAGCTGATCAACTCATCTATTCCACTTTGCCTCCAGGCCTTCTCCTGCCTTATTTCCATGTGCTGCACTCACATGTTGGATGCGTAGAGGAAGCTAATCTTGGGCTAACTCCCATAAGGCCTTCCACTCCTCATGGCTCCAAATGTCTTGTCCTCGTCTTTTAAAGTTCTCTTTGTTCCATAGGGGTAACCATTTAGTACATCCTTCTACTGTACATCCATCCAGGAGTCACTATAAATATAAATGGGCCTTCTAGGATGTGGACCTTCTACTAATTCCCACACAGCCATGCCAAGCACTGCTTGGAGCTCGGCATACTGCACGCGCTTTTTCCGAGGCCTTGTAATACTGCTTGCTTGCCATCTCGAATCCTCAAGGCAGCTGCTCTCCAGGCATGACCTCGAGCAGACCTATCTGTAAACTAGACTTTAACATTGGCTGAGGTCTCCATTTCAGGAGAGAAAGGAGGTGCTTTTTTGATGGGTGAAGGTTCACTGCAGCTTGTTTGATCAGGATAAACATTAATTGTACTTTCTGTGACTCTTTCAACTAATGCAGGGCGTCCCTTTGGGGTTACTCGTTGGACCTGGCTCAAAACGTAATAAATCCACCTTTGGACTGTAGTGTTTTGGGCTCTCCCCCCAGGTGGTAGCTGGAAGTCTGACAGAGCCATTCCGAGAATAGGTATCAGAGTAGTGATAATTGTGGGTAACTCTCCTCTCAGTGCTTCTGTGGCTTCCAGGGCCGCTGTTGCTGCACACAACATCTGTTCTAAGAGAGTATACCTTGCTTCTGCCCCTCTCCAGCCTTGGCTCCAAAATCCAAGGGGTTTTCCTTCTGTTTCTGAGGACTCCTGCCACAGGCTCCAGTGTGGTCCTCCTTCTGAGATGACTATATGGAGCCAAAGCTCTCCTTTGGGACGTCGTGCTGCTAGGGAGGCATGAACAGTTACTGCTTCTTTAAGGGCTTGTAAGGCATATTTATGCTTAGGACCCCATTCCCATTTAGTTCTCTTCTTACATAGGTTATACAAGGGACAAGCTAATACGCTAAACTCAGGAACATGCATATGCCAAAAATTGAGTGCTCCCAATTGGGCTTGCAGTTCTTTCATATTAGTGGGAGTCAGGGTCTCCACTATATTTCACAGCTCCTCAGTTGGTATTGTGGGCCCCCCATTCTGCCATTCTATTCCTAGAAATTCACACTGGGACCCTACTTTTTGGATTTTCTGTTCAGACAGCGTGAATTCAAAGGTAAGCACTTTCTCTTTTAATGATTCAAAGGCCTTGGTGGCAGCCTCTCTGTCTTGACTGCCTACTATGATGTCATCTATATTTTCTTGGACTTCATGAACTATTGTAGCTAAAACCCCATGAGCCAGGGTGGGGCTGTGTATCCACCCCTGGGGCAACACGGTGTAGGTATACTGCTGCCCTATCCACATGAAAGCAAATACTGGCCAGTGGCTCTCCTGGATGGGAATAGCAAAAAACATGTCTTTGATATCAACGGATCCCATCCACGCAGGTCCATAACACTGGATGC